AAGTGCTAATCCGAATCAAGAACAGTGGGATTAATGCGACTTGACCAGCTGTGAATTTCCAACTGGAACGTGTCTGATGTTTCACTGTGCACTGGCCTCCAAACTTATCCAAATATCCCCCCAATACAGCTCAGCTTGGACAAATGCTAATAACCCATGAGGTGTGCAAGCTCTGATCCTTTTTGATAGCAGACACTACTTGCATAGCTGCTCTAACAAGTCCCCTTTGGGTGCCTTTGGTGCGAAGCCCCCTCTGCTGTGTTCGTTTGCTTCTCTAATAAATCTCTCACCCCTTCTCTTTGCTTTGCTGCTGTTGCCACGGCAACGCCCTCCAGGATGAGATCATGGTGAGTAGGCCGAGCGCGTGGGTGTGGGCGTGTGTGTGTGTGTGTGTGTGTGCGCGCGTGTGCCAGCAGTCACTCACTAATCTAGTCTGGGTAGGCTGGGTAGGGGTGGGTGGGAATTTTCACCTCTTCAGTGCTCCCTTTTCCCTCCTCCTGTCCCCCTTTCTCCTTTTCCGTAACATGCCTAAAACCAGCGTTTTGGACGTGGGGTGTAAGCGAGACAGTGAGCCAGAAACGAAAATCAATGATTTCATTCTCTTTCAAGAAAACAACGCCAATTGGGCCAGGAAGATTTAGAGCCTGTCTGTGCTCTCTGTGAAATTCTTTCAAATGATGTGTTAAATGATAGTTTGATTTTCATTAAGCGAAAGGGGTATTCCACTTGAATTTGAAAATAAAGCTATAAAAAGGTATCTTGGTTTCATATTTTTAATCTTCACAGGCAGCTACTTTATGGCTGCTCAGAATTTCTGAGTGAATCCTGCTCTATGACGATGCAGCATCTTCAAATTCACCAAAAATACGTTAGGATATCAGGAATGATTTGGCGTTTGGTGTGATCTGTTTCGCTTCAAAAAAGCTCCTGACTTGCACACTGCAATATTGATATCCACTGTAATAATCATGTTGTCTGGTTACAGTTTATTTATTTGTTTTAAAGCAAACCAGATAGCACTTGTTGGCCAGTATTAATAGTAAAACTAGTATATTAAAAGGGCATTTTCACCCTTATATAGATGGTACATAAATTGGGTCATTTGGGTCAAAATTCAATGAACTGTATTTAAGTGAGCTGTAAACATTTTGCAGCATATTATTTGGTGTGTATAACTCTATTCAGGATTTAGACAGAAACATCACTGTCTGCTATACTGTCTAATAATACTAGGATTTAAAGGTCAGAATCCCACCATCCAATTGTATTAGTAAGTGGGCAAACTATTTGCAGTGCTCAGAAATATCATTCCACTGTGCTTCTATAACTGTATGGAGCTGGCAAGACACCAGCTAGGTTCAGACTGAAGTACTGCAATCAGTTCTTGCTTCATTATAGGCCATGAAAAGGTTTCCTGTTGAAAAACGGGGCTCGTTATCTTTCCTGAGAACCTCAGCCTGCTCTGCAACAGAACTGCCATTCCCTGCTTGCGACGTGAATGCTGAATGTAGAGCTAGCGATCAGCATGCAGAAGAAAGCACGTTCATTTTTTTATCTTTCTGTGGTGCTCTTGAATCTATTGAGTCTTGCAATGAATCAATGAATTACACCCTTGCTCAAAAACTGAAGTAGCTTGATTATCCCTTTATCGCACCGTGTGGTTTAGGCATCAGCTTTTCGCTTGTGTTAGTTCCAGAACTGCATGACGCCTAGGAGCTAAAGTACTAAACTGTCACGTGAGGCTGTATTGCTCTGTCTTGTGCATTTTGTTGCAGTTATAATTTCTCAATTCTATATCACATCTAAGAAATCAACCAGTCATAATTCAGCATTTATGAAAAATTGCTGTTTCCTTATATACTGTGCATTCCTTACAGTCTGCACATGAAACCTGAAAGGTTTCATGAATTCTGCACATGAAACCTGACAGATGTCATGAAATATTTAACCAGGGATTTCACATATGTAATGAAATAAACAAGGATGTTACTGATTGATTTACTTTTGTGCTGTCACACATAAAGCTCATCTTGTACATGGAATGTATTTCCAAGATATAACTCCCTGCTTGATAGCCACACACTGTGAAATAGGAATTTATCGATCCTACTCGACCACTGAGACATCCCGAGCCTGACAATGAGAAAATCAATTTCCCAAGACTAGCACAGCTCCTTTTTTTATCAGTCTCTTAGAAAACAGGCAAATGCTCGGTTCTGCCGAACATATTATTAAACGGCCCAAAGCCCAGCTGCACATTCATTTAAAATAATCTCTGAGGCTTAATTTTTACCTTTAGAAAAGTTGCAGTTCTTTTCATTTAAAATCAGTTGCACTGTCTTATTAGGTCTGAGCTATGGCAAGTGGACTTGCCAAATAAAAACCATCTCCTGTTTTATAAAAGATATTGTATACATTTGCAAAGCGGTAGATTGGAACAGCTGCTACACCAAAGACTCTTCCCACATGATATACAGTATATCAGTACATATACATTATCATATAGGTCCCGGTCACTCGCTTAAGTTTGGCACACCCCTGCTGGCTAAGCAATCTTAGGAAATCAGGACAGAACATTTTTTCAATTAATTTGATGAAATACTGGTGTGTTGTCTCATGTTTCTTCAGAGATCCTTCTTGAATCAAATGAATCCCAAACATCCTGGATTCCTTACTCATTCTGATTTGTGCAAAGTCCTGCTCTGGCGAAGGAGGCTCTGTAAATAAAGTTGTACATCTGCATCTGGTCAGGGAGCATACCGACTTTCCCTGAAATGTATACTCAGGGCTCAGATTTGTCAGATGTTCATCCTGAGCCTTATCCTGCTGCGATTTCAACTCGAATTAAGATTGCATTTTTTTATATTTGAACAAGCTGTTCAAATTAATATTTTGGATAATCATCACCTTGTAAGTTTCCCAATTTTCTAAAAAAACGACAGTCACCTCCATGGTAGGTGAAACCCCATATCACGTGAAACAGAAACCAGCAGCAACCCACTTAATTAAACCAGTGGGGGGATTAAAAAGTTAAAAAAAAACAGTGCTTTACTTATCATAGAGGAGGAATTTTAAAAGGTGTTTTGATATCCATCATCTATCAGATATCATTTGCTATGTATAAAAGTTGTAACATGACATGCACAGGTGTGATTTGCTCAGTGCTCAGAAAATCCGAGTTCTGACACCCCCCCTGCTTTCTAGAAGTGACAAAACTATCTTCCCTGGCTATGACTGTCCTACAGTAGCTTCCTGCGCTGCTCTGCCCGGCTACTCTACAGCACTGAATGCAGACCTGCTTATTCCTCCTAGCAAACTGAACTTGATTCCTGTCTTGGTGTAATTTCTATTTAAAATTTTCATTCAGCAGGATAGAGGATCCGTAAGTTTCAGATATGCGGAGGTAATTGAAAATCTATCTTGTTTTAGCAGTACATGAGATACAAATGACAAAGGGCTAAGTCTCTCTGCCATGAAATATATCATATATCATGTTTTGCATCAGTGTGTTTTTTTATTTTAATTGCCATACTGGGTTAACAACATACTGTATGTTTTTTTTTTCTTTTCACGATACATTGAAATCTCTGTTTCACTGAAGTTTAACTTCAAGTGAAACTCCATATGACAAAAACTAAATAATTGTAATACTTGATGGCATCCATTAAGGATCAATCAGAACAGAATGCAGTAAGAGTCTTGTAGATCTGTGCTTTGTTTTAGTTGAAAGAATACATCAGTGTCTATTCTATACAGCAGAAATCTACTGCAGTTTGGTCCTAATTTGGTTCTAAGACCACGCTTGAAGATGGACTCCATGGACTGGAGGCTATTTGTACATAAGCATTTTAATAACAAGCTCTCTGGAACTATCTGATGCTTATCTTAATCAATGCAAAATGATTTACAGGAACAAAGATGTATCGCCACTAATACAATATACAGTCAAACATGTTGTCTGCTTCATGTCAAAACTAAATCCACAAACTGTGAGTAATCAAGTTCTGCTGTGGGAGTAGCAGTGATTATGCCTTGGAGTCTTTAAGATCAGGGCAAAAGTCTTGCTAATGTACTCAGAAATAAGAATTAAATAAGTGTTTGGTTAATTTATTACCCTTACGGTATCGGCCACTTTGTACTGATCCCTTTGTGTCTTTGACTCAGATTAATGAGAAAGGCAGGGATCCTCACAGCCAGTCCTGGAGACTGTCTTGTTTTCTCGATGACTGAACTTAATTAATTCTTTACTTATTGTTTGATTTTGTGTCTTTAGTCATTTAGTAGTTTGAATTCCCTATAAAACCTGCAGGGCTATAGCTCTACAGGTCCAGCGGTGAGGGCACTGGTTTGTAAACTTCTCAAGTGTGAAATAAAGAAAAGCTAGGAACACAGTATTTCTCCACTTACTCAAATCTGCCTAACCGATAGGCACTTTGCGTACCTATATAATGTTATACAAATTTAATATTCAACTGCAGCTTTTTATGAATAAAAAGTTCAAAGTCAATATTAAGTGCAGTGCAAACATATTATTCAGAAAAGTATTAAGTATTAAATGAAGCATTAACATATTGTTGTCTAACACCACTGTGTAATTACAGAGTTCCATTTAATGTCGTTTAACTCTTAAATCAAACCATAACATGATTCGTTCATGCCGAATTTCACAATGAAACAGTGGGACCGAGAGGGTTTGATTGCGAAAAGTAAAAATCAGACTACAGAATTGTCGCAACTCTAAAATCAATCTTAATTCTTGTGTCAAAGTTAATCTTTTCCTTTCTGAAAGCATGTAACTTGATGTTACTGCATTATTAGTATTATTACCATCATTATAGTTGAAATGAAACATTTCCTTGATTTCCCTAACAGTAAGTGAACGTGGTTGAGTTTTCACTTGCGTTTTGAATCCTCTCAGTAGAAGGCAAACTCCAGAATTATGCTGTGCATGAAATGCTGGACTGGTTTGCACACAGTAACTCAGATAAAATGTCAGTCTGTCTCCCAACTGCGATCCAGCCCTTTAATTGCTGAAACCTTCGTAATATAATGGATCCCATGTGTGGGCCCTGCAGAACCCCAGGGTACTCTGGTTTGTGTTTATCGAGTTCTCAGTTACTTAATATGATGCTTAATTGAACTAGTAATTAGATAGTTGTGAAATATTATACTGCTGCATTGAGGTTTTGTAAATATCTTGAAATCTGCAACTGCTTGGGAGCCGAAAACTTGGAAATCCAGTGAATTTCGGTCATTTCTCATCAAATCTAAGAGCCCTTTGGGGTTTTCTGTTGCCCTTTCCTCCCAGGTTATTATTCGCTGCAATCAAAATGTTTAAATTGTGTCAGAAGCCTTCATTCTCCCGCCTGCCGTCATTTGTTGATCTCTGTTTCTCTCTCAATTCATACTGTTATCGTAAAGTATGGCGTTTTTGTTATTCATTATTCAACAATCCCGGCTCTCTCTAGTAACGGAATTGAATTGCTGTTGCTCAGAAGGAAAATGTTACGTTTTTCTTAAAGCAAATCACATCTCACAGCGGTAAGGGGAGACAGGAAAGAAAGACACGCAGGATACCAAGAATCAAATCGCCGCACTCGGTTCTAACGAAGAATTTGAAACACAGCAATCAAACAAAATCACAGCAGTTTTCAGTATGAACTGTGACCCACTGCCAAAATGAAAACGTAATGACATTCATATGGTCTGAGTTTGGGTATGGCCTTGCTGAGTATTAATATAATGCTGGAAAAGAAGATGCACAGGCTTGGTCAGCCCATGCACTGTCTGCTGTGGGCTCCTCTGCCAGTCTGTGTACAGTACCGAGTACTCATGCTGATAGCTCGGGGGCCGCAGACGTTCTGATGGATTAATTTTAAAAGAAGAAGTCTTTGCATTGTTTTCTTGAGAACATGCCATCCTAGCGCTGTGTTTCTCTGCTGGAAATCAGCATTTCCACTTTGGCTTGTAGGAACAGAAAAACTGCTGGCTAAAGGACTTAAGGACATCAATGTATCTTTGCACTATGAGGTCTGTTATTACTAAGCAATAAGATTGCCCTTAATGTGCTCTAAAAGCCTCCTTTATCTTGAAGAAGATTCCTCACCACCAGTTGGATTGCACAACACAGCAGACGGCATAAAGCTTACCACAAAGTTTTTTTTAAAAGGTCTTTCAAGAAGAAAACAGCATTTATTGGCGCATAAAACACTCTACCATTCTCTCTGCTGCCACCTCAGATCCTTTTTGTCCCACAGTTAGCAGCAGTTTCATCCGAGCTGCCAACATTACCTCTGAACAGCCTCTGAGCACGCAAATCCCTTTAAGGCAGACAGCAGGCTACAGTCATTCTGCTGAGGTGCAAGGTGTTACTTCTCCTGCTTTTATTCTCAGTTGAAGAATGAACAAACGATAAGCTTTTTGTTACTTCAGACTCGGAAAGAAAACCTCTGGCATGAGAGATAATGTGACTGATGACAGTGAGTTTCATTTCGAAGGCTACACCATTTACCAGCGTCCTGGAAGCATAGGGTACGAGGATTGCACGCTATTACAGCATATAACATAGGAAAAGTATTATAGAGGGGTTTTCTAACAAGCAGACAGATGTCAGTGGAGATGTTGAAATGCATTGTGCACAATTTCCCACTGAATTCAATTTCCACCTTTCTGTAGACATATAGCGGGCATTGAACCTTACCTAGCTCCATAATGGGTTTAAATGACTGGATTGGCATTGCTGGCACACTAATGCCATGTGTTGTCTTTTGCCCCAGGTGATCAGGAAGGGCTGGCTCACCATCAACAACATTGGCATCATGAAAGGAGGAGCCAAGGAGTACTGGTTTGTGCTGACAGCAGAGACACTGTCCTGGTACAAGGATGATGAGGTGAGTGGCACTGAGACACTGGACAGTCCTTCTCGCCTTCACGGGGCCCGAGGGAATCCCAGGGTTGACTGTGAATGTATTTTTCATTTATTGTTCATTTCGTTTTATATCAACAACAGAAACCAGGCCCGTTTTTTCTGTTTTTGTTTCAGCAGGGTCTGTAGGCCTGTTTTGTTTCTGTGAATTGAAATTTCCCACCGCGTTATGGAGCTGGTTTTGTCTAGCTCGGTCTTGCCATACCTATTCCTGAATAGTACTTTTTATTTTGCCTTCCTTTGTGTGACTTCCTCCCGCCTTCTTAACATCCGCGCATGGTTGACTTGGTCAATTTTCACATGAGAAAGTTGACGCGGAAAGTCAAGTTCACCCAGCCTGCCCAAAGCCGATGTGTTTTCTCCCCGCATTTAAAATGTCAGTTTGCTTAACTGACCCTGCCACAGCAAATTGCAGATCCCTTCCTCGGTATACTCCTGATTTATTGCCAAACCAATGAGTCTCAGCAGCAATGACCTCTTTGTACATTGCCCAGGGTGGCTGACACAATCGCTCCCCCAGGGAGAAATGGGCTGGGGTTCATTCTGTATGGGGGAGAGGAGGTAAAAATGAGACGAGGACCTTTCAATTTCAGTAAAAGAAGGTCCCTCCCCACAGCCTGACACTCAAATAAAAGGTGGCACCCACATCTGTGGACCAGAAACTACCAGTCGGCCTTAGCTTTCTTCTTTAGTAAAATGTGAGGACTGCTTTTCATAAACGTAATTTCTTTCAAAAGCAGGAGGTGTGGGGGAGGGGGGGGGTGCCTGATTTGGGCCTTGTAATGAACTCCATGTGGAAAATATAGGGGCACTGGGGCACTGTGGGCTCTCTTTCATCTCCTGGCTAACAAAAGCCTCTGTTTAACCCACACGCACACACACACACACGAACACACACACTTTCCTAAATGACTAACACACGCGGTCAGGCGGGAACCTCTCTTTCCCGATCCTGGGCTCCTAACCTCCATATGTATTTATTTTTACATCAGACCAGGATCGCGGTTACTCGCCGCTGGGGGACCCAAAACTAACACTGCCCAACTCTGAGGAAAAAGTGGGCCATTGTTTCCATAGCAATCTTTCAAAAGAAGGGCACATTTCCCCACTTTTTATTATTATTTCTCCTGTGCGCAGGCCTGGGGGTGGTTGAAGGGTTGAGAGGGGGGGTTGGCCGGAGTCAGCATTACTGACTGTCAGTCTTGGCCTTTGTTCCAATTTCCCTGGCGTACCAGCGCTCAGAAGGAGCCCTCTCTACACTTGCACACGTTGTGACGCAAACGACCGTGTGTTAAATCCATTTATCCCCCGTCTTGTCTTCACGTTAAAGACACGTTTCGTTCTAGGAGTCTGCTACACTCCGGCGACTTCTATACCACAGGAATTTTTTTATTGTATTGCTGGTCCCTAACTCTGGAAAAAGGGACTTTTCAGTGCACATATAAGAAAGCCTTGGTGCTTTCGTTTCGAGGTCAAATCTGCCTGCAATGTCCCCTGCAGTGTCCTTCTAGTGCTTGTGTGTGGAGCAGGGGATCCACATACTGTATAACTGACCTTTACAGACCATAGGAATCAATATACAGTTTTATTTAATTCTATGTGTAGTTCTTCACAAATAACGTTTTGATGCAGGAGTGGAGTGGAGCTAGCTCAGAAGTAATGCGTCTTGACTGCAATAGTTGTTGTTCAAATGATCGCAAAAATGTGGTCATTAAACCCCCTTGTACACAGGGATACTCCTGGTTTCCTGTGTGTATTTTCTGACAAGAGCTTTTGTGCTCCAAAATGTAAAACACTGAGACAACCTTTCAGAGAGAGCCGCCGCCAGACATCTCTCTCCATCTGACTCGCGCACAGACCTGTCTTCAGATGCGTAGCCACAGTGCTTTTGAGAGAAAACCTAGTGCTCGCTTGAAAAAAAAAAAAACAACAACTTATCGTTGGCTCTGGCTCTGATCATTGAAATTCTTTAGTCAGGGACACTCCCAGTGGTCTACCATATGTATGGTCTGTCGACATCTTGGCTCTCTTGGCGTGTCACAGCAAAGAAACCAGACGTGGAAGCAGTACTAAGCACGACAGCGAACAGGAGTCAGCCCACATGTCGTTTGAATGCTGTCAGGTCTTAACCAGTCCAGCCTCGCCCAGCCCCCTCCACCATCTCCTGCTAGCCCCCGACACTAATAATAATGTTCAGTGGAAGCATTGGGAGAAATCTGGTTTTCATTAGCGGACATACCAAGTCTTTGAATCAAGCAGCCCTGCGCGCTCCGAGTCTCACTGGAGCTTGCAAATAACAGCGTAGAAGCCAGAAGCTCTGCGCTGTCGGACTCGGAAAAGCCCGGAAAATGAAGGAAGCCCGATCCCCAGACTGCACTCAAACTGGCCTCTGCTGGGCTCCTGTCTCCCCCGGCCTTGTGTAGGCCAAACCCTCAGCGAGCTTCAAGCGTCGCATCGCCTGAAAGGCCTGCCATTTTCACCCCGCGAAAAAAAACTTTTCGATATTCTAGGATGCTGTGGGGTTTGGTTTTTTTCCAAAGCTGTGGTTTGGGCGGAAATTTCTGAGTTGCCCAAGCTTCATCGAAGCAAGTTTTTTGAAAATCCCTCAGGCTCTCAGTTGACAGGTTTCCTTCAAAGCACCCGGGCGTACAGTACGAGCAGAGGAATCCCATGATACACAACCAGAACCCTGCCTGGACCATCCAGATTTCCAAAAACGTTTTAATATTTAACCATAGTGCCTGATGTGGTCAGGTTTTGAAAGCATACATCAAACCCTTTCTTTAAAAAAAGCACAAATGTTTTAAATAAGAAAACTGTCCACAGAACATGTGGCACATACTGTATGTAACCTTTTTTGGCTGCTCACTTTTTTGGTTAAACGCATAGATACAGGCAGGAGAGAGTTACAAAAATATCAAATTTCCGCAAAGGTTTTGCAAGTAAATTGTCATTCAGGCGTCTCCTTTCAGAAATCAAAAAAACTTTCATAGGCAGCGCTGACCGTTCCACAATAGCTGAATGTGGAGCAGTTTATTTTCATTTTACTTCAGCTCGGTGTGGATCTTTTGGCAGCGAGAAACTTTTTGCGCAACCTTTTCCTCGTGATTGATGAAGTTTGCAGATATTTCTTCTACGTTTTTTTTTTCCTTCGAAGGCACATCGCAGTTCATGCGGTGTTCGTTTTGAATTTATGGCATTTATTTTCCAGCCGAACCTGCCAATTACATCCCTCTGACTGGAATGGCTAATTACTGCTCAGGCTGACTCAGTGCTGCAGCTTCGCCACAGTAGCTGGGCCGAAAGAGAACAGCCTTCCAGCATCCTCTGAAATATCACGGTAAAATAGTTCTCTGGTTGTGTCACCGATAACATGTCAGAACAGTAGGTGTCTGACAGAGGGCACAGGGGTGCCCACAGGCATCCTGCTGGCGTGTTAGTTCCTGAATCAGGCCTGCCAGGTAGACTTGAAATTAAGAGTTTATTCCAAAGTCTTATTTACTCACTATTGCCAATATATTCAATAGCCTTTTATTTTATTGGGGGACGTTTTTACAAATTTCCTTTTTTCAGGAACAGTGCAAAAAGTAAAAGCTCTAGACCAAGAGAACAGGGCCGTTTGGCTTTGAGTTGGCGTTTTTGGCTGCAGTAGGTATCCACTGCAAAACATGACTTGAGAACCGAAGCTATGTACTGTAGCTTGGGAAATCGCACCAAGCTCTGCGAAAGCCACGAGACATTTCCAGCAACTTTGGGGCTGGAATGAAACAGGAGGAAGTTAGTTACCAGCAATCAGGAAGCAGGGAAGGAGACAGCCAGGTCTGGAGGCCTCCTGTCGTTCACAGCCTGAGCAATGTCCGCATGGGTCTGTTCTTACCACTGTTCCCTGCAATTCACACTGTAAACAGGAGACTGTAGGCTTTGGTCAGCTCTGAGAGCTGCCTGCTGTGGGTGTTCTTACATCTGTACTGCAGTAAAAAGAAAATCAGAAAAAAAGACGCAACTTCAACCGACAGTCTGAGGCGTGTCATCTTGAAAATCCCGTCGGCGTGAAAGGACTTACAGCCTCTTTCGCTGGCCTTGATCCAAAAAAGCATTGCAGCATTCGCAAAGTGCGCGTCACATTTTCACGTTTCACATCTCGCAACGTTCGCGTTTTCTTCAGAACATAAGACAGGTTCCAAACAAGAGGAGGTCACTCAGCCCATCTAATCTGTTCGGTAGTTACAGCTATCCAGCCATTTTGTAAAAGAAGCCAGGCTACTGGCTCCAACAACAGGGCTGGATAGCTTGTTCCACGCTCCCACAACCCTTTGGGTAAAGGGCTGCCTCCTGTTCTCTGTTTAAAATGCACTTCTTTGCCCCCTTGGTTTGTGTTCCAAAGTTCATTCTGAAGAGACGCCCCTGGGTCGACTTTGTCAATTTTCACTCAAGATTCAGGGAAAGTCGGATGAAACGACTGCCCGTTCACTAATGCAAAACCAAATCCAACTGATGTGTTCAAATGTCTCTCTCGGAGCCACAACCAAAAGTAGTGACCCTCGAGGAACCCCCGAGCTCAGGACTCTTATTCAAATGAAAGGCCCTGTTCAGTCAAACTATCTGATTCTTTAAAAGATTCGGTATGAACTCACACATCTGTGCTCTCCTTTGAACGGGAAAATGGAGTGAAGAGAATTTTGGAGAAGAGCACAAGTAAAAATGAAGAATGAATTTAAAAATGAATGAATTTAATGAAAAGTTCAAAGGTATTACTAGCCCGCCCAGGATACTCACAGTATGTGGCTTTTTTTTCTTTTTCTTCCTCAAGAGCTGGACCTGGTTGCTGTTAAGTCAGAAACAAGTGGAAATGATACGCGAGTGAGATCCATATGTTTCTTAAATGGCCTTGGCTTAGAGAGCTAATATTGTTCCAAAATAACTTCAGAGCCTATATGTTTCCAATTATTGAAATTGTGACACCTG